GCACATACGTTGTCTTTACTAGGAACAAATTCGATGTCAAAGTCAAAATCTTCCAATTCAAGTCTCATTTTAGTCAACTTAGAGGTAGGATTATTCATACCAAATAAATAGACTAGTGGTCGATGGTCTGCACGAACCTTGAACCTTCGACCATAAGATATAATTTAAAATAGTTAATTTCCCAATGTATGGCAGTTATCTCTTTCTCAATTACGGATTTTTTTCTCCTCTTGTTACATTTTATGCGTCTGTTGTCAAAATAAATTCTTTTGAAAAATCTGGGTAGCGCAAAATTATTGGAGACATCAGAATTTTTTTAACTTGTTTAAACGCAACGCAAGAAAATTTAGATCCTTTCTTTAATAAATCATTAAGTGGTTTAGTAATTTCTGCAAAATTTGGTATAAACTTGCGATAATAATTACAGAATGCTACAAATTGACGTACTTCGTCGGCATTTGTAGGTATGGGATAATCTTTTATAACTTTATCAAAAAATATTGGAAACAAAACATGACTCTTTTTAGAATCTCACTCACAATTAATTTTTCTCTTGCTAACCAATAGCCAAATTTCCTAACACAGAATACCTCCGATCACCGAGTATCTCAGCTGTTTCTATATGAGGACGGTTTTCTGTATACATCTCTCGCATACAGTTGTCACAATCGACTATCTTTTCTCACAGGTCGTTTCCAATACGCACCTCGCATCGTTTCTCTTTCTCTCTATGACGGTTTCCAACACGCCAACTTTTTATTTTGATTTGTGGTTTTCATTACGCACTCAATCATTGGTGGTCGTCCCGGCGCGCCATTTTATTGTACCAGGGATTTTCCTAAAGCACCTCTTATTTTTACGCTGACGGTTGTCTTAACTCGCCATTTTATGCTGGTGGCATAGGCGTAGCCAGATAGGGGCAGGGGGGGCGACTGCCCCCCCCCCCTAAACTCGGCAACACAAAGGCTTTCGAGGAAATGGAGTTCGGTGAAATGGCATTCGGCCAAATTTTCCATGGTAATTTTTTTTTTCACCCCTCCCTAGCTCGAAACCTGGCTACGCCCTTGGCTGGTGGTTTTCATTACTCACCTGAGCGGTTGCCCAACACGCCTCTCTTTCTAGGTGGTTTTCTTTAAAGGTGACCTTCACCCTCGACGGTTATCTTAACACGTCATTTGGCCAGCGGTTTTCTTAACGCGCTTCCATTATTTTTTCCCTGACGGTTTTCATTACGCGTCACTAGTCACTAACACTATTATATTTTCCCGTGCCGAGTGATTCCACAAAAACAATTAATTATGCGATTACTCCTGGCAGGATCGCCAATGTAAATGCCCAAAGAATTACGTGAATCGATGAAATCGCCATTATGCCTTATTACTGTGAAATCACCCGGCACAGGAATTTGATTGGCTCGCAAAATAGGACTTACCTTTCCTGGAGTCTGCTGCTGAATCTAATGAAAGCTTTCGTAGCCACATCCTCTGTGCCGTGCTGCCAATGTTCCACATCAGTCGTACCAACATTGTATGACAGTATCACAAACACTGTCGTTAGTGGGGGAAAGGAATCTATGAATATTAATTCCCGTATTCATGTATTATTATTATAATTATTATTATTATTATTATTATTGTTATTATTATTATTATTATTATTATTATTATTATTATTATTATTATTATTAATGCGTCCATTGTTATAACTGTATCTATTATTTCTTCGGAAATTGTTTTGTCTATCTCTGAAAAATAATATTTGCATAGGATTGCTATTTTCTGAAATGTTTTTGTTGACCTTTTGGATTGCTTCTTTAAGATCCGTAAATTTTCCTGCTTTTAGTATCAGTTTTACTTCATGACTACTGATTCCATCTATCAAAGCATCTAATCCTAATTTGGTTGACATTTTTTATGCGACTACGACTGGAATTTTGTTGGAAATGTACGAATTTTTGAGTTGAAGGCAAATTCAATTTCTTCACAAAAATTCTGACTTGAGTTTTTTAATTTAACTGTTTTCAACTTTGCAATAATACTTTCAAGTGTTGTTCTATTCTGGCACCTGTTCTTTACATCTTGTACTATTATTGCAATTGTATTGTCTTCATTAGAGAGTCTGATACGAGCTTTACCTGTAAGCCTTTTCTTTAGAAATGTTGCTGCAATGTCTGCATGTGCTGCATCTGTTAGTTCCAGAAGTAAATTTGTTGAATCTACAAATAACGCATTTCGCGCCAAATCGAATCGAAGCAACACCCTATCAGATTTCAATGAAATTTTCTGGATGTGTAGACTTTGACTAAATAAGGGAATTTGAGAAGGGCCAAACATTTGCTGTCGATTTTTTTCAAAAAAATATTATGGAACAATTACAACTCCTACAAAAATGTGTTGTATCGATAACTTTTAGGAAATTGTCCAAATTTTCGAAAAAAAAAAGTAAAAAAATCTATTTGAGCCCTTCATTGAAAAAATCGACTTTTAAAATTTAAAGTCGATTAAAAAAATGGCCATGTTTGATTTGGATGAAACTTTGCCTCAAGATAGGTAGTTATATACATCGCAAGATGGGCACTTTTAAGGAAAAAAAAATGTTCTTGCAAAAACTTTTTCATGTCTGAACTGATCTTTTTTTAACGTACCATTTTCACACAAAACTAAACCAGTGAAGCTCAAAATCATCTCAGAACCCAATGAAGCTCAATTTGTGATTCAATTTTGTCTAATCAGCAACTCACTTGGATTAATCGAGAATTCCATATGAAAAGGGCTTATATCATTAGAAAATAATATAATTGATTATATTGTCTACTACTGAGGCAAAATCCGATACTTCTATAGCAACTTAGCATTCTTAGCTAAAATTGTCCATAAAGAATTAGGTACGAATAAAATTTAAATTGAGATCTTCTTTCGTATCAACAACGATTTGGAAGTCAACCTATCGCATCATAATTCTATATGCCCTTCTGTTATTTATACCTAAACCACAGACAAACAGACGTAACTCTTTGAAAAACTTGTTCTTGAAAACATAGTATCTCAAAACATATAACCTCAGTAACGACATCTCTCTGGCTTCTCGCGGAAAACAAGCTTGCTCGCTAACTCGTAAACAATATTGCATAAAAGTTCTATAGAATATATAGAAACGTCAAAGTGATCCGATGCCAGCGCTGCGGCGAGTAGTTCGCGGAACTGATAATATTCAAATCAACCGTTAAATGCATGAACGAAGACACAAATGATTTTGTTTCCGAGTTTATAAATGGACGAAAAGAACACGTTCAAAAACGCCTGTTAATGATGTCCCTCAAAGAAGCGTACATGATTTTTGTTGATAAATATAAAGATATTTAAATTTAGTTTCATTGTATTTACACAATTGCGACCAACACATTGCATTTTGAATTGATTGCATTATCTGAAGACACCTTTGCTGAGAAATTTTAAATAAGAAAACTAGAGCAAAAAAACTGTTTTTTCAAGAGCCACCCTAACTCAATTCAAGAAAATAGCTCTAAATCGGCCAATTTAAGAGATACAAAAAAGTTATCTTCAACAAAGTTGCTTATAATCAGCTCAGCTATAACTTTGCCGAAGAATGTATACCTTAATTTATTCAAACAAAAAAGTTAGATTTTTGATTTTAATGATAATAGGAACCACCCTAGAATTCATTGTCATAAAAATGAGGGCCTAACTATAAAGAATAACTTTGTAGAAGAGACTTTTAGTCTAAAGTTTCAGTTTCAGGCTCAAAACATATCATTCCACCTAAATCTGCATTCTGGACCACTGTGCAGTGGCTGAATACTTATCGTTGTAATTTGGAAACGATTATCAGACAGACGAGATATCTCGTTGATAAAATTAACAAACTTAAAACTCATGACTTTATTTACAAACAACAGTCATATTTTCTAAGAAATAAAATAGAATCATCAAGGGGAATTTCTAGCAATTTGTGATTTTTCTGAAAATGGTTCATTCATTATCCAAAACGCTGCCCAAGGATATCACTGGAATAATTCTCAAGCAACAATACATCCATTTGAAGTTTATTATAAGAGAGATAATAAACTTGAAAATGTTTGCTTCATTATCATAACAGAAGTAATGACTCACGTTGCAGTTCAGTTGTTCATCTCAAAAATGATAGATTTTATTAAACAATCGATAGATTTTTCCAAAATTACTTTTATGTCAGATGGGACTGCATCAGAATACAAAAAAAATAAAAAAAAATTGCTAGTCTATGTAGATTTTACTCAAAGCATGGATTAGAAGCAGAATGGCATTTTTTTGCAACGTCTCATGGAAAAGGTCCATGTGATGCCATTGGTGGCACTCTCGAGCGAATGGCAAAAATATCTAGTCTTGTTCAAGATTATGGAAACACCATAACAACTCCAAGAGAATTATATAACTGGGCAGTTGAACAAACAGAGAAAAATATCACAAAACTACGTTTCGAGTACATATCCACTGAACAGCACATAGAAATTTCAGAAGAACTCGAAGAACTATAAAATAGAACAAAGACAATATCTGGCACACATAAATTCCACAGTTTTGTGCATATAACTGGTGACAAAGTAGCGGCAAAAAGGTATTCTAATTCGGAAGATTAACTGAAAATATTTAACTCGTAAAATGTTGTGAAACCTTTAATTAATTTTTCTGCTAACCTTTCTATGGTAGGTTTTAAAATGCATATTTCTTGTATCGTATCCAAAATAACAAATTTAAAACTGCACAATTGTCGCAAATAGAAATGTGTATAAATTTTACCTGATGTTTAACTCCGTCCATCGTATGTTGGTTGTCTTCTGCAGAGATTTATCAAAATTAAATAAATGTCACCAACACATATTCTATGCACGGCATTGCACTCACTGCTCATTATTAGTTTTTCTGACCATAAAAAAAATGATAATTTGACTAGAATTTAATTTTAATTCAATATTAAGCGTTAACGGCATGCTTTTTTTTCAGGAATGGCACTATTGACTTATTGATGGCAGATTCGCCTATATTAGACTATTACCGAGCAACAGACCAAGGATGTTCATTCCAGAAAGTCGGTGATACTTACGTTGATGATTCCTATGCAATTGGAATGAGCAAAGGGTAGGTATACACCTGGATAATTAACCGTTTATAGAGTAAAAGTATGGTATAGTATAGTAAAAGAATGGTCAGGCGTCACTAATCTAACTGCTAAAATCCGTTCCAATCAAGCATGGCAAGAGCAAAAATAAAATTGAAATTGAACATTGTCGAATGACAATAAATATTTAGGAATGTAAGAAATGTCCGAATTACTGTAGAAGTCTTCTACAAAATTTTAACAGAAATAGTTTTGGAAGAAATACCTCTGAAGAAAAAGAGACGTCCCATAAAAAAACAAAATTGCCTGCCAGACAAATAAAAAACTTGGAAATCGAAAGCAAAAAGCACATAAAATTTACATTAAACACGATAGTAGTGAAAATGTATCAATCTATTTGGACATATGCGATCAACTGAATTTAGCCATCAGTAATGCATTTGAAGAATATAATTCAAAAACTGAACTATAGTCCTGTCCAAAGAACTTCTTTAATTATGTAAATTGAAATCTGACGATTTTCCTTCGATAATGCATCTTGACGATAATGTAATATATTCGCAATTTTTTTCATGAAATCAACATGACATTTTCTGAAGAAGATCGCGACCGCGATTATTTTTTACGTTGGCGTCAATCAATTTCAAGTTCAGGATATTTTGCAGGCATTGAAAAAATTAAAAGGTTCTGGACCTAACGGAATTCCTCCAGTATTTATTAAATGTCTAGCAATGGAACTCACTGATCAATTGTTTTGGATTTGTAATATGTCTCTGGAATCCGGAACCTTACCAAAAAAATTGAAAAAAAGCTCATTTCTAGTGCCTATCTTTAAATCTGGCCGAAAATCTGACGTACATCATCTCTTGCATTCCTCATCGTTTCGAGGAAATTGCCAACGAAAAATTATTTCTTCAAATCAAAAATAGAATAACTGATATACAATACGGCTTCTTCAAGGGTCGTTCGACCTCGACAAATAAAATTTAACGGAAAGAAATCGAGTCAGTTCAGGCGTCCCCAAAGGTTCTCTTCTTTTTATTCTATACGTTAACGACATTTCTTTCATTCTCAAAAAACTAAAATTGCTAATCTATGCCGAGGACATGAAGCTCTTTTTGGAAATAAGAACTGAAGAAGACATCAATATATTCCGGAATGAAATATATGTTTGCAATATATGTGTACATATGGTGCATAAAAAGTCTACTAGAATAAAATGTAAAAAAAATGCAACTTAATATCATTTAGCAGGAAAAGAACAACATCAAACATTTCAATTGCATTTGGAAATCAAAATGAAGAAACATTTATTCACAGGGCAAATAACATCAAGCGCCTTTGCTTTAACTTTCAGGACCCATACACAATTAAAACACTATATATTGCCTATGTGAGGTCAATGCTGGAATATTGCAGCATTGTATGGTCTCCATTTTCAATCACGCACTAAGAAAGATTAGAATCAGTACCAACACAATTTCTATTATACGCTCATAGTAAATTAGGTTGGACATCATTTCCTCTTACATCATATGAAGCACATATAGTATCATATGGTTTCATTTCTACAGAACAAACCTCGTTGACAGCAATGTATTTAGGTGCAGAACCGGCATAGGCGTAGGCAGAGGGGGCGGGGGGTTCGGCGACTGCCCCACTAAACTCAGCAACACAAAGGCTTTCGGAGAAATGGCGTTCGGTAAAATGGCATTCGGCCAAATTTTCCAAAGTAAATTTTTTTTTCGTCCCTCTCCAGCTCGAAATCTGGCACGCCCTAGAGAACTGGTTATGATGACATTGATCAGGCAGTTTGGCATTGGCCGGGTAATGATGCCTCCAGAGCACGTCTATTGGATACACAAGTAACCCGAGGTGACAACCCTTCCGTGAAGTAAGAGATGTATTGGGAACCCGTGATCTTCCCTACATGCAGGCAATCTACGAATTCCTTTGTTTGTCTGATGTTAGAGTTTGATGTGATCATCCCCTCCTTTCCACACATTTTCCAGCAATTGTGTCCCAGTCTCATTATCCACCTGTTTCTGTGCTACTTGCCCCTGCCCAGCCAGCATTTGGTCAACCGTTCAAGAGTAGTATCTGAAGGAGGCTTCAGAAACCTGTTTTCTACCTAGCTCCTTCCAATCGAAATTGTGACCCATTAACCTCGAGCCCGCCACGAGTAATTGGTAACCAATACTAACCTAGATTTACTGCTGCTTAAAATTTTAATAAAAAAAAAATACGGATTTCTGGCTCCGCAAAGTGTCACACACGACTGAGCCTAGTAAATAAATTTTCATGCACCTACTCGGCAACTCTGAAATCGAAATTTATTAGCCATAAACCAGCATCGCACAAATTATGCAAAATATGGGCCATTAAATCGCATGATGGCCTCTTACAATCAATACTGTGAAGCCGTTGACTTTAAAATGTCTTGGCATAAACTAAAGCAATATTTCAACTCCATACGGAAACTGCTTAGTTCTTATTTAAGATAAAATTGTACTTTTTATTTGTTTTTCAAAGATTTTTTTATAATTATATATAATTAAGAAAAAAACTGTATATGTATTTGTACTAACCTACGCTGGTTGACGAAATCAATAAATCAATGAATAAATAAATTCAAATTGTTCGATTTTAGCGGATTTTAACAGATGTCCATTCTTTTACTGAAAGTTTTTAGGTGTTCAGCTTCATGATTAGAAATACGATACATGATTTGAGAATATTTCTTATTAGTTGACAGGTTGAATAATTGCTGCGGAAATAATGAATTTCTCGTTTCTTCTAGATTTCCGTTGAAGGAAATGATTTCAGCACTAATATCCAAATATTCTAGTGATGGATATTTGGACATCCTAACGGCCAAGTGGTACGGAAGTTTAGCATGCTTTAAGCTCGATCGTGACATTGGCCAACCAAAGCCTTTAGGAGTTGCAGCTGTGGCAGGAGTGTTTTTGTTGCTTGGATTGGGAATGATTTTAGGGCTTCTTATTTTAATTTTCGAACATTTGTTTTACAAGTACATGTTGCCCATACTAAGACATCAACCGAAAGATACAATATGGAGAAGTAGGAATATTATGTTCTTCAGTCAGAAACTATACCGCTTCATAAACTGTGTGGAGCTAGTTTCACCTCATCATGCGGCCAAAGAGCTGGTGCACAGTATCCGCCAGGGTCAGATCACCAGCTTATTTCAAAAAAGTATCAAAAGGGTAAGTATTGTTCACAAGGCCTTTGACATATAGAATACATATCTGGGGTCTTCTACTTGGTGTCTATGCCAAATTTACACGAAAGCAATGTTTTTCTCTTATATCGTTCTTAACCTGGTTCTAAATAGTTAGTTATCTTTATTAAGGATACTTTCAGCCGAACGCTGGTGGGTTGATTCCCACCTAGTAATTACAGTATTGAACTTAAATCTAAAGATTAAAATTAAACACATAAGCTTGAAAGTAGGTTACTCAAATAAAACTTACGCTAGTTATCAGTAGGTTAAGTAATTAACCTGGTGATTTATAATCTATTCGTGCAAGATAGTGTTAAGGAGCTGTTCATTAACTACGTAGACATTGCGTAGAATTGTCCAAACATTTTTTTTTTAATTTGTATGGGCCTTGAATAATTCCCAACCCCTCCTAACATGTCTACGTAATTTATGGACAGCCCCTAACTGTTCGAAAACAAAGGTAACACATGCAATACGTAAAACGATGACGATAAATTCATAATCTTAAACTAACTATTTCTAAACATAGGATAAAATCTATATAGCTTAAACCTACTAGGCGAAATTAGAAGTTGCCACATTGCCACACCCCAGGCCACTTTGAAGGGTGTAACTTTTTTATTTGTCGATATATTTTACTAATTCTTTCGTTACTAGGTGTGTCCACCTGAGCTCTGTAATACAAAATAAAATATACTCCAAAAACCTTGAAAACGTATTTATCGAAATGCTTACGTTGTCTGTACCCTGGGAACAATTTGAACCCAAATTCAAATTGCCGTATCTTAACGAAATTTCAATGGATTTCTGAAATTTTAAATGTAAATGCAAAGTAAATTTGGATGATTTATTCTTCAAATTATCAGACTATTTTTGGAGGGGCTTGTTTTGATGATAAAGATTATTTTATCACGAGATCCCAACTATATAGGATGTTGCTTCTTTCTGCATAGATATTCAGGAATACAAATTCTTCAACACTATGGATAGTGTATGACATAATTGATTCACTAGATGGCGCTAAAACGAAAAGAATCAAGATACGCCATCTTAAATACACATTATATAACAGGTCCTGCTCATATGGAAGGTTACCGACTTCAGCAAAAGTTGTTCAGATGGACAGGACATATCTTGAGAAACAAAGTTTAGTTCTGAATTCACTCACCAGGTGGTGCTAGTCTGACATTCGTTTTGTATTGTTTGTCCTCCTAATTTAACATCTTGACTAGAGAGAAGGTTTCCGGCTACCTATTTCATGGTAAAGAGTTCAGCTCATAATTCACTCACCAGGCAGCGGTAGTGTTTTTTCCCTAACTTAAAATATGAACTAGATAGCAGATTTCCGTCTTCGGTAAAGTTGGTCAGATGGACAGGACCTATCCTGGTAAAGAGTTCAGCTTAGAATTCCCTCACCGGGCGGTGCTACTGTGATTTTAATTTTGAATTGTTTGCCCTAACTTAGCATCTTGACTAGATATAAGGTTTCCACCTTCGGCAAAGTTGTTCAAGTAAACAAGATCTATTTTATGGAAAAGAGTTCTGCTCAGAATTAACTCACCAGTTGGAGCTAGTGTAACACTAATTTTTTATTCTTTGTCACAACTTAACATATGGACTAGATAGAAGGTTCCCGTATTGGATAAAATTATTCAGATGGACAAGACCTATTCAAAGGTGAAGAGATCGGCTCAGAATGAACTAACCACGTGACGCTAGTGTGACATTCATGTTGAATGGTTTGCCCTCAGATGAATTAGATAGAAGGTTTTCGTTTTCAGTAAAGTTGTTCAGATGGACAAGATCTATTTTGTGGTTAAAAGTTCAGCACATAATTCACTCACCAACTAGCGCTCGTGTAACATGCATTTTGAATTGTTTGCCCAAACTTAACATTTTGACTAGATGGAAGGCTTCCGTCTTGGACAATGATAGACTAGACCTATTCTATGGTAAACAGCTTAGCTCAGAATTTACTCATCAGTTTTCACTGTTGCACCACGTTGTTTCGAGTGTTTTGGTTTCCTTTGACAGCTTGCCTAGATACAAGGTTTTTTTTTTCTGACAAAGTTTTTAATATGATCTTAAACTATCAATCATTTTACCGTTCTTCTTCGTTAATTTCCCTTCAGATATCACTGCTGTTCCTAATTGCGACATTGATCGGAAATTAGGCATACACTTAGTTCCGTTAATTGTTAACAGAGGGTAGTGGGCAGAGAGCATATCATGCTTTACTTTTTTGCATTGAAAGCGAATTATTCCCAGTTATCTCAATTTCTAAATGGGAATTTTCATTACTTTCAACCAACGGAACAACATCATCTCAGAAAAAATGGCCTGATGATACGACGTAATGTATCCTAATAATCATAGTTTAGAATTCACACCCCAGAGATCGATGGAGCTTAACGTTATATATGTTTTTGCTTTTATTTGACATTTTAACTAATTAGAATATCGCTCTCGTCAGAAATCTTGATCAGAAAATAATAATCCATTAGTAACAAACTCTGTTCAGGACATTCCTCTCATCCACATTTTGAAAGAAATAATTCAATTAAACTTTCGTTCATTTAAAAAAAATCTCAAAAAATAAGATACGGTTAATATCAGTCACTTTTGTTCATCAATAGTCTAGAATAGATTTTGTCTATAGATACTATAGATTCCATAGATAAGCGGAGGCAAAGTATAATGTAGCCAAACGAATTGTCAGTTAGTGTAGCCAAACGAGCATGACGTCATCCTGGTGTTGTTTGAGGGAGAAGTATTGTAATATTATGAGCACAAAACGTTTTCCACACTCCACATTCCGATTTATTTCGCGGACAACGCAAGAAGGAAAGAAAAAGCAAACTATTCCTCGATTCATTGTTGCAAAGATTTGCTTTGCACTTCATTTTGAACTTTTACGCACGAAACAAAACAAAACTGCACAACCAAGAGCTCTATGATGGCATGAAGTTTATTCACGGATGCCAGTAAGATCATTTATTTTTCATGGTTGCCAAAACAACTTTTTGTGCCTCCGCTTATCTATGGAATATATAGTATCTATAGTTGTGTCCATCTGAACAACTTTACCGAAGATGGAAACCGAGGGGCTGTCAACTTGAGTGTTTTCGATTCATCTACGCGACTTGAAAAGGTGTATTGGGTATTTTAGTTTCAGCGTGTACACATTTACGTATTTTTGTGTGTATTTAGGCCGTTCGCAATGCTGTTGTGTTTTATAACGACTGTTTCAATTTGAAACTAGAACAAAAACGCACCTCTTGCAATGCTGAGTTGCAGTTTCATTATTCGAGCACTATTTTGCACCAGATTTGCAACTGCTCGGTTATTCTATTTTATTTCTGAGTGAGTTTGAAACACGAATGGAAATTTGTTTCAAATTTCTTTGGATGTATTCATAGACGTTAGGAAGAGCTTCACAAAAAAAACGGAGAACTTCATAGAGAACAGTAAACTTTATGGAACTTTATGATTACAAACACCTTATGCGTTGTGCTGATCGTGTTGCAGTTTTATTTTTGACAGTTTCAAATTTATAATTGTCGAGTAGTTTAAAACAATTTTGAAACTCAGCATTGGGAACGGCCTTAAAATTCAACTGATTTATGAAGTTGATCGCCCCTCGATGGGAACCAGTCCATATGATAAGTTGGGACAAACAAATCAAAATTAATGCCATCTAACGCTACCTTGTGAGTGAATTCTGAACTAAACTGTTTACCTTAGGATAAGTATTGTTTATCTGAACAACTTTATCAAGCCGGAAACTTCATGTCTAGTCCATATGTGAATCTAGGACAAACAATTCGAAATTAATGTCACACTAGCACTGTCTTGTGAGTTAATTCTGAGCTGAATTCTTCACCATAATATAGGTATTTTCCAACTGAAGAACTTCGCCGAAGACGGAAACGTTGTTTTGACTATATGTTTAGTATTACTTCTGCGTGAAGTCAACGATTTACATAGTTGAAGATGCTAATTTCAAATAACAGACTAAAGTGGTAATTTTTATACGATAGATGATGGTATAGAATTGATAGTTCCGTTAGAGTACGGCAGTGTGAAAATTGTATATAGAGAGTAGACAGCGAGCTAGGACAACTTTTAAGGAAGGTACAAATCGGTTTTATCAGGTGGGGGGGCACCTTAGAATAGCTCTTTTCTATCTGAACAACTTTGCTGAAATGATAATGATTATTCTCGTTTTAGCGTCATCTAGTGAGTCAATTTTGTCATACACTATACATAGTTTGGAAAACCTTGTATTCCTGAATATCTTTGCGGAAGGAAGCACAATCCTGTATGGATGGGATCTCGTGATATAAACATCTCTATCATCAAAATATGCCTTTTCTGGGTATATTTTTACAGTAAAACCCTCCCTATGAGAGATCCACCTCCTAAAATAAACTTTGATTATTTAAACTTACCTTACGGCAGCAAATTAAATTAACTTTACAAAACATTTTAACATTCAGAAATCCGTTGAACCTTCCCTGAGATATGACCATTTGAATTTGGGGTCAAATTGACCCCATGGTACAGACGAAGGGTTAAACATATTAGTATACGGTAAATTATAAATTTGCTACAGTGATTTTCACATAAATCGCCCATTGATTCGTGATACGATCCTAACGTTCAAAGATACAACAAAAATTGTAAGTTGTTTGTTTGTTTGTTTGTCAGTTGATTGAAATGATATTGTTCTTATAATTTTTGGACCTTTGTAATTTTGTCATAAATTTAACCTAGGAGTTCTTCATCGTTTTTTTTTTTTGCTCCTTCTAAACATTAGCAGTTATTTCGAGGGCGGTAACGCTGGTAGGACACGGGCATTGGTGGCACGGTGGAGCAGATGGAACAGATGCGCCTGTTGGGCGGCAGCGTCCGTGTGGTGGAAGCGACATTCAGCCGCAGCAACAATGGGGCGAGAGTAGCGTCTGACCATATTAATTACCCATTCGGCCTAACGTACTTCGGTCTAATGACCCAGTACACCCTACTTACTCTTAAACATTCAGAGATCTCTATCTTCTTCACAAGATAAACACAAAGCTTTCAGTATAAACGCCAGCGTTCACTGTAGGTACTTGCTGATTCATATTTGTTCTCATTTTTAATAATTTTAAAGGTCTATCAGTCTATTGCAATAAAAAATTTCCCCCAACATTGAATTCGAAAACTCATTTTTTTTTGAAAAACATTGCTATACGTACCATATTTCGAACATCCGTACTTCTATCCCAACCCCTCCTTTCTTGCGTTGCTCAATTAGTGATCAGCCACTAACGTCAATCCTTTGTATTTTTCAATGCAAAATGAATACAATTTGACCTAGAAGGAGGACGAGCAGAGACGCAGGCGGAAAAGCAAGGCACAGTTTTTCGACATGATTCAGGAAATCAGAAGGTAAAATAAAATACATAGAATACGCTAATTTTAAATTACCTATTAATGGGTTCCACAGGTGCTATTAATTAATGGATGCCATTATCAACATAAGTAGCATTATTCATTAAATATATTTATTTTATTTTATGATAAGCTCTTCAGTTCAGGTTGGAAATGAGTGGCTAGAAAACCTATTTATAAGTGCAAGGAAAAAATAGTGTATTGGAGTTGCGAAATGCGTGTTATGAAGAAATTAGAGCAAATGGTGTATAAACCCATAATGTCCGCGATTTTTATTTAAACTTTACTCTTGTATGCAAAATGTCTACATGTTTTTGTGCGTGTGATCCGGGATATGAAACATTGTTTATTGTTTATTTATTGTTATTCATCAGACTCTTTTGTGGTCTTTATGAACATTTAAATGTATACACTGAAATAGAAACATCCAAAAAATACTTTTAAAACATAGAACATTACAAACAGTTATCGCATTAAAAGCAAGCATACCACTCCTAAAAAAATCGTTATAATTTTTCTATAAATATTGGACAAAGATAGCGAAAATAAAAAGAAGCAGATTTTTTCTCCAACTTAAATAAAAATTACGTGTAAAAGCATTATTTTCTACGGCATCATTTCAAAAAGGTAAATTTACAAAAAACCACAAAATTCGACCATTCTGATTATTTTTTTTTTTAGTTTTTTCATAGTGATTTTCATGTCATTTCCAATATTTGTAGAAAAATAAAAACGAGCCAGAATTTTTTTTTGCGGAAAGTTTCCCATTAAAGAGAGCCGTTGTGGGAAGATCCTCGCAGTCATGCTTAAGTCCAATACTAAAAAAAAAATTGTTAAAAGTACTACACATAAATCTAATGTCATGTACTTTTTTTTCTGGTATATATAAATTAATTTCTGGACGCATAGCCGAGGCATCAATTTCTCCTTTCCGCAATTTCGCCTCAAAAACTGAATCGATGAATCGCCGAAAATCTAGCGCGAGTAATTAGAAACGTTGTTCATAAGGTGGCAAGTTTGAAGGATAATTGCACGGGAGATGCGGGAGTGCGAAGAGCGTATTGAATGATTGTTTTCTACATTGTTTCAATCCTAGCAGTCCAATTGGCGTGATACGGACACCAGGCAACCACACTTGGCTCCCAAATGAATCGTACCAGCGAGCAGGTATCGTAGATAGTGTGGATCCTGAAATTTCTGAAGTAATTTTAAAGTAGTATCAAAGCTGTCTATTAGCTTTAGAGATTACATAGCTGTAGTATTGAGCCCTTATCCATACATGAAATGTATAAAAAAAACATCCTTGTAGTGTACTCGAAATGTATGGACGTGACGTAACATTATGAATTGGTTTATACAATTATTCACATCATCTCTAAACTACTAGTACACCATCGCTAGAATTGGTACCTGGTACTACATATAATAATAAAAAATCAAAATTAAAATTATAACACGAGCCTGGTGTGTTATCCATGCTTTCACGCTACAGTGACCAATGTCACTAGTTTAAATCTCTTCCCGGATAAGTCACGAATGCTGCTAAAGTGACCATACAACAACAACATAATCAGGTGCATCTAAACATAATTCAGAAAATAGATTATCTACACACCATAAGCGTAACACTACTGTTTCATTTCCATCCATCAGTAGGATGTGCTTTTTTATTGTGGTATTCCTTGTAATTAACACTTTTTATTGAAAGTCATATTTCTTGTTTTATTTATTGAATAATCACTTATGATCAGCATTAAATTACATAAGAAATAGTTATAAATCTCCAATAGTTCTTAAACATCACATTCATAAAATAAATGTAATATTGATAATCTGTTTCTAAAACTGTTAAAATATAATTTTTGACCATCACTAGCATTCTTTAGGCATTCTTTTCAATCCATTAAATACACTAGACGTTCGTTAACTGAAACATGTTTACTTTTCACTTACAGAACGGCATTCGCTGACTTAATGCGTTTCATGCGTCAACCCAGTTGTCAAATGCATTTAAGGTGAAAAGGGACGTTATTATTTTTCAAAAAATTAAAAGCAGTCTTTTTGTTTAAAACCAAACTTACGTTCATCGTGGAGGCGAACCAGCCTCAGGCCTCAGATAAATCAATCAACTTACGTTCATGAACATGTGGTCATTGCATTCAACTTGCCTACCAGAACACAATGTAACGTATTATAAAAAATATAATATTATAAATCTGGCAGAAAACAATTATTAACGCTCTGGAATTGCATCCACTTGAGTTGACGTCTTGAGTGAAGTTTCTTTGATTCATTACGACTACAATTTGGTGAGCTTTGGCAAAGTTTTAGAACGTTAAATTTGAAATTTTATTAAAAGTTGCTGAACACATAAAAGCTGTACACACCAAATTTAAATCGCTGAGAAGCAGAAGAATTTAGCTGATTTTAGACTTGATGAAAGATCAGCAAACTTTCCAGCAAAATAAGGCTGCTGAAATATTCCAACTTCTGTCAAAATGACAACATTTAACTGATAATCAGCAAAAATTTCAGCAATATTTCTTCACTGATTTTTCAGCAATACAAAATTCTGACAGCACACAGAATTTTTCTGAATAAACTCAATAAGTCCAATTTATTTTCACTTGGGGATGTCAGCTTCTGTTAAAGATGTTTGATACAAATACACAAATAATAAAGGCAAAATCGCCAGGGTCGTTTCCATCCATAATTTATTTAAATTTAATATAACCAGTGCTCTTACCAACTACCAACCCACGAATCGTACGAATGCAAATGTTTGCGACTGTGACGCTTACAGATCGACAGCACTTCACTGGGTGTCCAGTAAACCGTTTATGTTAGCTGAATTTTTCGGTAAAAATATCGTTTTCTGTTTTTCAGTAAAGCTTTTATGTTGCTGATCATGATCCAGCAAACCGTTTTACTGATAAGGAACCTAAAATTTGGTGTGTACATCTTCAAATAACTGAGATATACGAAGTTTATAAAAATTGTCTTTCATTCCCGTTTTTAGTATTATATGTTGAACAATCTTCCAAAGAATACTTTTATCATTTTTCCTCGATTAATTATGAACAATCTTATCTTTTCCAGATCAATGCTATTATTTTAAGAGTGCTGGAATGAAATTTTAAAAAAATCATGATTTTCTGGATGAATTTTGTAAAAAAAAATGCACAAGTTAACGCAAAATGTCGTCAATTATTCAAAATGTACATCAAGTACACTTTAATTGTTCAAAATATCTAAGAGAGATGTATTGAGATAGGAGAAATGTATGTAATGTCGGCTTAAGTGTCCCTAATTTGGGCCCATACATAAATTTAGCAATCGACTAAATTTTTAATAGCGACCAAAAATATCCATTAGTACCGTCCCAATGACGCGTTCATCTAGATAAAATTGAAAAATTGCTGATTTTTAGCGATGGGCCCAATCTTAGGTCCATAGGTTAACACTAGAGCCATTTCTCCTATATTTGAGATACTTGGATTTGAATCAAGCAATATATTTTATTTGAACAAATGCAGCAAAACTATTCTGTTGCTTTTCAAAAGTTAAAAATGCTCAATTTGAATCAAACTACACATTTCAATTACCGTTACGTTACCGTATCTATTTTTGATGAAAATTTCTGGTAATTTAGTTTTGCTGAAGAAAAAATGTGGTGACTGCTCGCTGGGCTGATATGTTTTCATTATAGTAAAAATAGAATTTCGAGGATTAAAAAAAATGTTGTGTTGTTTTTATCTAACTTGTGCATGCCATTTAATATCAGTCCTCAGCGTGGCTCTACCGTCCGTGAAACTATGTTCTTTATATGATTTGTTTTTTTTTTCCTTGATTTGTTTTCCCTACTGAGTACCAATACTACCGACGTCAGAGAGGTAGCTCTCACACCTGGACCATGCCTACCGACATCAACTCATAGACCGGGAACCAACGACTTTACTTTCCTTCTGAAGGAAGGCATGATCAGAGATTTTATGCCTCAGAAAACCCCGGCGGCGCCGATAGGGATTGAACCCAGGCCTTTTGGGATGAGAGGCAATCACTACATCATTGGCGCCGCTTTATACGATTTGTTATACCATTCACAAAATTCAATTAAGGGACTTTCTTGCAGATTGGTTGTGTTTAGTAATGGATTATATGTTTTCATTTTGTGGTGTTTTTATTTTGTCTTAAATAGGTTTTAACGCTGTATTTGTTTGAATTGCGCTTGTTCCTAAGATTAATTCATCCTTCTTCTTGGACCCAATGTTGTTATAATATGACCACAAAATTATAGCTCGTTCGGCACAGGCGTTTGTTACACTGGATCAAAGCTTCTTAACTACCTTATAATCCTCATTTTTATTACACTTAGATCGCTCCAGAAACAAGACACTTGTTGGTATCTTCATGATACTAAATTGTGCGAAACATATGTAGGTAAATTGTAGAAAGATTTAAATTTGATGAGATGAGATTCTTCTGAATAGAATAATGTTTAGTATGAATAAACATATCAGTTAATGAAACATTAATTAAATTAACCTCTTCATCCTTTATTCAAATCAGTTTCTCCACCATATATGGTTTCATGAAAAGAATGCCAAAGTAATGTTAAGTTTTTATAAGTACCAGAGGTGGTTTTTAAATTTATCAGTAACAGCTTTCCCAACTTCCAAGTTTTCGTAGTTACTTACTACCTATTCCGGAGGCGAACCAGCGCCAGACTGAAAACCTCCTTAATAAAGAAAACTTAACTTAATTTACTTACTATCTCCAAGAAATGTAAATCATTCCTCGGAGCAGAAGTAGTGAAAGGAGCTTTGCATGGATATGCACAAAACAAACAGGACAAACTTCTTCAGTCGGAACTGGGATTCAACTTCACCTTCAAACTGCTTCCGAGCGTACGTGATGCATTGCCCCTGGTGGGCGCAATTTGAATTTTTACTGACGATGATAAGCACATCAACCCCAGCTGAAGAAACTCGTCAAAA